AAACCAATTATGTTTCCGTGTGGAGCTGGAAAATATGTTGTTCTATTTCAACAGAATGTTCAGGCCCAGTTTTTTGTTTTATTTTTTGTTTTTCGTTTTGCCAGTCCTGGGGCTTGAATTCAGGACCTGGGCACTGTCCCTGAGCTTCTTTTTTTTTTGGGGGGGGGTCCGGTCGTGGGGCCTGAACTCGGGGCCTGGATGCTATCCCTCAGCTCTTCAGCTCAAGCTAGTGCTCTACCACTTGAGTCACAGCACCACTTCCGGCTTTTTTCTTTTTGCTTATGTGGAGCTGAAGAATCGAACCCAGGGCCTCAGGCATGCAAGGCAAGTGCTCTACCACTGAGCCACCTTCCCAGCCCACCTTGAGCTTCTTTTGCTCAAGGCTAGCACTCTACCACTTGAGTCACAATGCCACTTCTGTTTTTTTTTCTGTTTATGTGGTATTGAGGAATCGAACCCTGGGCTTCATGTGTGCTAGGCAAACACTCTACCACAAAGCCATATTCCCAGCCCCAGGTTGAGTTTGAATAGCTCAAATCTACAACAGCTTTGTCATAAAAGAGGCCTTGGACTAAACGCAATCAGCAATAAGAGATAAGGAGACAGGGAAGAATGCTTGGCTTGAACAGTATTTCCCAATTTGAACTGATTGAAGAGTGAAAAAGCAAAAGTAGAATGTAGAAAACAGTGGTTTAAATAATTTTAAGCCAGTTTTTTTTTAAGTGAAGAAATATTCTATTTATTTAGTGCAGAAAAGGAAAAGAAACAAAGAACAATGACAATTATCTTCATGAAGAAAATCAAAATCTAGAGTTACTACAGTGTAGGAACTAAATATCCATTTCAACACCAGTAACAACAATCAAGAAGACATGCAAAGAATTAGGGAAGCATGGCTCATCCTAAGAAAGAAAACAATCAATAACAGCTGAGTGAGAATGAGGCAGCATCAAACATCCCAAAAACATATAGTGAGGGTTCTAGAAGAAGGAAAGAGGTAGGAAAAAGATATTTAAAGAAACAATGACTAAAATTTCCCCATATTTGAGGAAGAAGAACATTAATGTATCTACCAAAGAATCAAAACAAACCCTGGTAAGAAAAAAAAAATCCATAGATACATCATAATCAAACACTCAAAACTCAATGACAAAGAGAAAATTTAAGCCAGTTCTTTTAAGGAAGAACTTCTAGTACTTAGCACTGTAAGTATCTTAGGAGGCACTGGCTCATGCCTATAATCCTAGCTACTCAGTAGGCTAGATTTGAGGAGCACAGTTCAAAGCCAGCCCAGGCAAGAAAAATCCAGAGACTCTTATCTCCAATTACCCAACAGAAAATTGGAAGTGACATTATGGCTCAATGTGGTAGGGTGCTATCCTTGAGTACAGAAGCTCAGTGACAGTACCCAGGCACTGAGTTCAAGCACCACAACCAAAAACAACAACAAAAAAGAAAGAAAGAAAAGCAAGAGAAAAGAACTTTCCAATCTCCTTTATGACCATCACATTCTTTTTCACAATGATTATAGTAGAGACAGTTTAGTTGTTACTTGGAGATAAGAGTCTCACAGACTTTTTGCCTGGGCTGGCTTTGAACCACAATCCTCAGATCTCAGCTTCCTGTGTAGCTAGGATTACAGGCATGAATGAGTCTGTACAATTAATACTTCATGTTTCTTTTCTTTTGTCGGTTGTGGGGCTTGAACTCTGGGCCTGGGCACTGTCTCTGAGCTCTTCAGCTCAAGGCCAGTGTGCTACCACTTCAGCCACAACACCACTTCTGGTTTTCTGGTGGTGAATTGGAGATAAGAGTCTCATGGACTTTCCTGCTTGGGCTGCCTTTGAACAGTGATTCTCAGATCTTAGCCTCCTGAATAGCTAGGATTACAGGCAGGAGCCACCAGCACCAGGCTGTTTGTTTTTTAAATAGCCCATCCTTAGACTGCTGGAAGTGAAATCCTGTGCATTTGATTTGCATTTCTGCAATGGCTAAGAATCCAAAGCTGAATTTCAAATTAGGGATGCTTGTCTGCCCAATTTTTTTTGTCACCTGATGTGGTAATGGCTCTGGAGGGCTTGAAGATCTCCACTTATTCTTTATTTTTCCCACAACAGCATGGTGATGGCTAGCCAACTTGCCACTTAAAGCCTTCCCCTAGGTTGGGGCTGGGCAGGTGACTCAGTGGTAGAGTGCTTGCCTTGCATGCCTGAGGCCCTGGGTTTGATTCCTCAGCACCACATAAGCAAAAAGGAAAAAGCCGGAAGTGGCACTGTGGCTCAAGTGGTAGAGCGCTAGCCTTGAGCTGAAGAGCTGAGGGACAGCAGCCAGGCCCAGAGTTCAGCCCCCATGACTGGACAAAAAAAATTAAAAAGTTAAAAAAAATTCGATTTACAATAAACTCTGTGTGTGTGTGTGTGTGTGTGTATGTGTGTGTTTCTGATTCTGAGGAGCAAACCCAGAGCCTTGTGCATGCATGCTAGGTAAGTAACTATCTACTAGTCCAGCCCTAAATAAATACTAACAACAATGTGTAATCAGTTATTATGGAATAAATTAAAAGTACATGCCAGCTCCTAAGAGACAAATCAAGTGTCACAGGAACACATATTGGGGACCTCTCACCCCCAAGTCCAGAGTCTAAAAAAGACTACCCAGAGAAAGTGACTTTTCTCCTCCTCTCCCCCCTTCTTTTTTTGTATGTATACCAATATTGAGGCTTGAACTTGGGGCCTCATGCTTGTTTTTTTCGTTAGTCTTTGACTTATGGCTCTATCACTTGAGCCATCTCTTCTAGTTGGCTTTTTTGCTGGTTAACTGGAGAATAAGAGTCTCATTTTTTGGTGCCAGTTCTGGGGTTTAAACTCAGGGTCTGGATGTTGTCTGTGAGCCTTTTTACTCAAGGCTAGAGCTCTACCACTTGAGCCACAGTTCCACTTCTGGCTTTTTTTCATAGTTGAAATAAGAGTTTTATGGACTTTTCTGCTGGAGCTGGCTTCAAATTGAGTAGCTAGGACTACAGGTAGAAGCCATTAGCTCCTGGCATTTTTTATTTTATTTTATTTTTTGCCGGTTGTGGGGCTTGAACTCTGGGCCTGGGTCTGTCCCTCAAGGCTCTACCACTTGAGCCACAGCACCACTTCTGGTTTTTTGGTGGTTATTTGGAGATATGAGTCTCACAGCCTTTCCTGCCTGGGCTGGTTTTGAACTGTGATCCTCAGATCTCAGCCTCCTGAGTAGGCTATCAGGCATGAGCCACTGGCGCCCGGCTAAAAGTGCTAATTATTATTATTTTTTTTGTTGTTGGTCACTTCTGCTTATGTGGTGCTGAAAATTGAACTCAGGGCCTCATGCATGCAAGGCAAGCACTCTACTACTGAGCTACCTTTCCCAGCCCTGCTTTTTTTTGTGTGTGTGTGTTGGTCATGGAGCTTGAGCTCTGGGTTTAGGCGCTGTCCCTGCACTCTTCAGCTCAAGGCTAGTGCTCTACTACTTGAGCCACCGCACCAATTCTGGTTTTCTGGTGGTTTATTGGAGATAAGAGTCTCATGGGGGCTGGGAAGGTGGCTCAGTTGTAGAGCACTTGCCTTGAATGCATGAGGCCCTGGGTTCGATTCCTCAGCACCACATAAGCAAAAAGGAAAAAGCCGGAAGTGGCATTGTGGCTCAATTGATAGAGCACTAGTCTTGAAGAGCTAAGGGACAGTGCCCAGGCCCAGAGTTCGGGCCCCACGACTGGACTCCCCCTGCCCCAAAAAAAGGAGTCTCACGGACTTTCCTTCCCAGGCTGACTTTGAACCTTGATCCTCAGATCTCAGCCTCCTGAGTAGCTAGGATTACAGGTGTGAGCCACTGAAGCCGGGCTGTGTTTGTTTTTAACAGGTCCGTTTAGTCACAAAAAAAGAGGAATGGAGGGGCTGGGAAGGTAGCTCAGTGGTAGAGTGCTTGCCCTGCATGAGGCCCTGGGTTCAATTCTTCAGCACTATATAAGCAGAAAAAGCGGAGTGGCGCTGTGGCTCAAGTGGTAGAGCGCTAGCCTTGAGCTGAAGAGCTGAGGGACAGAGCCCAGGCTGAGTTCAGGCCCCAGGACCAACAACAACAAAAAAAAGGGGTGGGGGTGGGGAATGGAGTATGAGAATAGAAGGACCAGAGCCAGGTCAGAAGGACCAGAGCCAGGTCAGAAGACCAGTCTGAAGATGACTGCAATGTCTCAGGGAAGAGAAGATAGCTTGGACCAAACAGACATTGTAGTGATAAGACTGGGATAAAGGGTGGGAATGAGAGAGAGGAATCCCAGTAATGATGGCTCTGTTTCCAAACCTCAAGGCTGCACCCAGACCTGGGCCATGCACTACCAGTCAGCTGTCCATGTTGGCCTCTCTGTCTCCACCTCCTGGCTGGTGCTGGGAGTGCCGGAGCCTGCCAGGGTCCTTGGGATCCGGAGTGGGGGTAGGGGTGGGGGCCTCGGGGAAGGTAATCCTGACTGGGTGGTGGGTTACACACGCGGCTGGCACACTGTTGGGTGAGCCTCTCCTCTCTCCGAGGCTTTGCATACCACGTTTCCCCCTGCTGGAGTGAAACATGAAAGAGACCGGGTTGCCATCAGAGAAGAAGGCACCGCAGTGGCTGGCATGAGGTTGTGTCAGGGAAGTGTTGCATTTTATTCCAAGTGCCAGGGGGTGGGTTGAAAAGCCCAGGAGTTGAGATGGTCTTGGCTGCTGGAAGATACACGGGGTGGTGTGTGTGGGGGAAAGGGGCAAGGGTGGATGGCAGTGTAGAAGAACCCATCAACCCCCCGCCTCATGCCAGTGCCCACCAGAGGCCAGACACCCAAAGATTGTCTCTGATGATCTCCCCCTACCCCGCCCCCACCTGGGGCCTCAGTGGCTAGGTAGTGGGGAGGGGGGTGGGGCGACAGATCTCGGGGGGGGGGGGGGGGTGGGCGGGGCAAGACTCCCCGAGAGCAGGGTGTGGCCCGAGGATCTGTCTGGGGTGGTCAGGCGATGCTGATAGGGCAGAATCCAACCTCCATTGGCCAGGCGATCCTGACAGGGCCGAATTCAACCTCTATTGCTCCAGCTGGAAGCTGGGGAGGCTCGTGGGGTTGTCTGTGTTCGCCCCTCCCAGCTGCATTTCCTCTCACAGACCCCGCCTGCCTCCGGGGCAGAGAGAGAGAGGAGCGAGGCTCCTGGATCCCAGCGGAGCACAGCCGGCCGCCACCACGCCCTGGCCTCAGCAGACGAAGGTAAATGGATGGACAATGGGACGACCGGAGGGGCCGCCTCTCCCCTTCCCCCTTCGCCCCCCCCCCAACCCAACAAGCCTGACAGCGTAAGATCCGGGACCAGAAGCCCGAGTGGGCTCCCTGCTTCTCCAGCCAAGAGCTAACGTCTGCGTGGCCTTTGGGTCTACGGACCTGCAGACCCCTTGGCTGGACTGCTAGGGTGGTGGTGCTGGGGTCCTGGGAGGTGGGAGGGGGGGTGGTAAGAGTTGGGGAGACAGCTGTTGCTGCTGGGGCTTAGTAGGGGTGGAGCCAGGGGTGGCCAGGGAGGCAAAAGGGGTCAGGATTTGCTTGGGAACCGAAGGTTTGGAGAAAAAAGAAGGGCGCCCAGGTCCTAGTGAGGACAGAGAGGTGGTGGTGGATCGTGCCTTTGAGTTGAGGTAGCCAGACAGGTCTCTTGGTTTCGGGGAGCCTGGAGCTGTTTGGTTAGTGGGCCTGTAGGCAGTCCAACCTCTACTTCCCATGGCTGCCTGCTCTCCTCTGTCCCCTCCCTCCTGTCTTGCTGTCTCCTGACCCTGCTCTATTTTTCCTTCTACCCACTGGGTTACAAAGGCTCCCCCACCCTGGCTGGTGCTCCACCCCTTGCCTTGTGATGGAGGCTGTGGTTCTCATTTTTCCGTTTAGGGTAAGATGGTGCTTGTCAGCTGACCTCCCTGAGCCTAGTCCCAGGCCTGACTTGGAGAGGCGCAGAGCAAGGGGTTTCTTCCTGATGCTGAAGGCCCTGCACAGGTGGCATTTGATGCCTTCAGACATGAGTCAGATTGAAACTATAGTGGGGCTATGAAAGAAGCTGAAAACTGAAGGGGAATGTGTTGATTTAGAACAAGAGGGTTTTAGACCATGCTCTGCCAGTAAGTCATTTCTCCTTTCTGAGCCTCTGTTATCCTGGCAGCAAAATAAGGGGTTTGAGGCTGGAGGTGTGGCTCAAGTGGTAGAGTGCCTGACTAGCAAACAAGGACCTGAGTTCAAATCCAAGTACTGAAAAAAAAAAAAAGGAGGAGGAGGAGGAGGAGGAGGAGGAGAAGGTGATGGAGAAGAAGGAGTTGTCGAAGAAGTTGAGCTTGGATAAGCCAGTGGTTTTCAACAGTTTTCCCAGAGATCTCACAGGAGTTGAGTGACACGCCCCATGCTGGCAACTGGGCTTTTATCTTTTATGAATGGTGGCCACTGAGCAAGATACTGTGATAAGTTATGCTGTGAGCACAAATATTTGTTGCCTCCAGAACAGGGACTAGGGGCTTCTCAGATATCAGGAAGTCCCACCGAGAAAGTGGGAGGTAATCAGGACTCTCCTATGGAACAATGTCAGAGGCAGCCCTTTAGTTCCCTATCCTCTACCCCTTTCCTCTCACCCACATGGCCATACTTAACCACAGGCTTCCTCTTCTTCTCCACTCCACTGCCCTCCCTCCTGGCTCACTCCCCTTCCTGTAGGGTTGAGCACCTACACAGTGGCTGTACTTACTCTCAGCTTCTAAACATCTATTGCAGGTTCCAGCCAGGCCTGCCTGACCTAGGGCTGAAAGGAAGAGGGACCCCTGGTTTCTCCATTAGCACAGAGGGATTGACTGTAGTCATCAGTGTCCTCCTCCTAGGATGACTTCACCATCCAGCCCTCCAGCTTTCAGACTGGAGACATCGGATGGAGATCAAGAAGATGGCACTGAGGCGGTCAAAGGAAAGCCTGGGCCGCCCCCAATGGAGTCGCCATTCCAGGGTGAAGACCGCAACTTCTCCCCTCAGATCAAAGTGAATCTCAATTACCGAAAGGGACTAAAAGCCAGGTAATGCATCAGATAGGGGTGAGGCAGGAAAGCAGCTCAGCTCACACAACGCACCTTTGAGTCATAATCAGTGGCCAGTCCAGCACCTGTGTCCCTTGGCTACAGCCTGGAGCTGATGGGGAACCTGATAGGCTGACCTCTGCTCTGTTCTCTGGGCTTGCTTCTCCCAGAAACTTCCTCATACTTGGTATTCTCCCCTCTGAGGTCATGTTTACTCAATCCAGTTCCAAGGATTCCATTCCTCCTTCAAATTTTCGTTGTCCATGCTCTGATCTCCATCCCATCATGGTCCCTGTGTTAGTTCATTCCAGAGAGAGAGAGAGTCAAGGACATCAGGAAATGTTCTGAGTGCTCCTCAGTTATGTTCCAAGGCTAAAGCTGTCACCCAGGCAACTTGGACCCTGGGGGTAGGGGACAATTGGATTCCACTGTCATCCGAGTCATCTGAGCTTTGATTTTCCTGTGGTCTTTCTATTAATTCAAACTGTGAACCTGGCTTTTAGTCTTTCTGTGGGACTGAGGAGACTGGCCTCCCTCTTATATGGAGTGGGAGAATCCTCATGGGCCAAGCAAGACTGACAGGGGAGCAGATCGTGCCTGTGATCTGGCCTCCAGCCCCAGCCGCCAAGACTAGAGTCCCCTGTGTTATTTGGGCTGGCAGACCCTAGCCAAATTCAGCCCCAGCCCAGGAGAGGAACTGTGGAGGCTTCTGGAAGCAGTGTAGCCAACTGATAGAGACAAAATAGGCTCCATGATATGCTTTAGACTTCAGTCTGGTCCCTTGGTGGCTTCTCTACTCTGGATCATGACACTGTCCTGATGGCTTGTCCAAATGGCCACATTTTTTTTTTCTTCTAGCTAGAAAGCCCTCAGGACTGCTGAGTCAGCAACAGAGCATACGTGGACATATTGTTAGCTATGTGATCAGCTGACCAGGGCAGAGCAGACACCTAACTTCTGGTGTTGAGAAGGCAGGGAACTAATCACATTGAAACTGTACAGCTTAAAATGTGACTAAGTCCATCTATCACCAGCGCTTACTGTTTTAGCCCACTCCACAGGAGATGTTAGAACCTGAGATTCCCCAAAGCATGAAGGAGACTTGTCCTTTTTGTTTGTTTGTTTTTTGTCATTCCTGGGGCTTGAACTCAGGTCCTGGGCACTGTCCCTGAGCTCTTTTGCCGAAAGCTAGCACTCTACCACTTGAGCCACAGCACCACTTCCGGCTTCTTCTGTGTATGTGGTACTGAGGAATCAAACCCAGGGTTTCATGCATGCTAGACAAGTACTCTACCACTAAGCCACATTCCCAGCCTGACTTGTCCACTTTTGTCCCTTTATATCGCCTGCTCATGGATCCAAGGCCCCAGAGCTGAACTGGCCCCTGGGGATATTGATACAGCCTAGAAGGGGAATGCCCTACCCCCTCTTTCTCCTCCCTCACCAAACACTGCTAGATTCCAAGGAGCTTCAAGGCCCCTTCTGGGGCCTGCAGGAGAAAATTCCCAGAACTCTGGCTTCTCGGTACACTCTGGTCAGTGTCTGATACTTGTCAGCGTCAGAACCACATGGTATTTTCACTATCTCTGGGAAACCTCTTGCTGCCAAGCCTCTCTGGAGGTTTGAAGTCAGGATCTGCCATCAGATCACCCCCCTGAGAACCCTATATGTGCTAGAACAGAGCCTGTGGTCTAACGAGTCTTTTGAGAGATGAAGCATCAGGGCTCCTGGGAAAATGCTAAGCACTGAATGCTTAAAATTATCTGTGATGGGCTGGGAAGGTAGAAGGTGGCTCAGAGGTAGAGTGCTTGCTTTGCATGCATGAGGCCGTGGGTTCGATTCCTCAGCACCACATAAGCAGAAAAAGCCAGAAGTGGTGCTGTGTCTCAAGTGGTAGGCTGCTAGCCTTGAGCTGAAGAGCTGAGGGACAGCACCCAGGCCCAGAGTTCAAGCTCCACAACCGGCAAAACAAAACAAAACAAAAAAAAGAAAAAGAAAAAAATTATCTTTGACAGCTAGAGTCATGGGAACACAATCAACTAATGTTCCAACAGATCCCTCCCTTGTCTTCATCTGGAGTTCTGAGAACTTGAGGTCTCTGTGGCCTGCCTTGGAGGAGAGAGGCCATCAGAGAATGCCCATGTAAACAGAGGGGCATACATTGCATACTGGATACACTGAAAGGGTTCCCTGGGATGGGACTTTCTTCTGGAGGAGGCTGTGGCCCTCTTCTACCATGAACCATGAACCACATTTCCCACAGACAGCAGGACCCCAATCGCTTTGACCGTGATCGGCTTTTCAGCATAGTTTCCCGAGGTGCCTCTGAGGATCTGGCTGGACTACTTGAATACCTACGCCGGACCAGCAAGTATCTCACTGACTCGGAATATACAGGTAGACCCTTCCTTGGGCAGTCCTTTGTGCTCTAGCATCCTGCATGTTGAGAAAAGGGCAGGGCTCTCCAAGCTGAGTAGCTGGGGGCCTTGTGGATGGGGTTGACTGAGGGCTGTTCCTGATGGTTGTGGTTCTGCATCTCATTTCTATCTACCTTAATGGACTCCCAACCTGTTCCTTCTATTCTAGCCCATAGCAGTGGCTGAAGGGATACTCAAAGAACTTAGTCAGGCACTGATGGTTATTCCTAGCTATTCCAGAGACTGAAAATTGAAAGGATAGCAGTTCAAATCCATCCTGGAGCAAAAAAAAAAAAAAAAAAGGCCAATTGAGTCTATTTCCAATTTACCAGCAAAATACTGTACTGGAGGCCTGGGCTCAAGTGGAGAAGTACCAAACTAGTAAAGCAATCTGAGTGGGCGTGAGGCCCTGAATTCAATCTCCAGTACTAGCAAAATAATGAAATAAAAACAACTGAAAGAAATAAAATAGAATCACACACACTTCACCAATCTCAAAGCATCTTTGCCCCAAATGTAAATATCTTTATTGTTTGGGTTCATGAGAAAAGTAACATATATTCACTCTAGAAGATTCAAGTAGTAAGGAAATATGTGATTTCAAAAGTAAAACCACATTTAATACATCTTAAACATTTTATAGCTCATGTCTCAGTCACTTCAGTGCCTGTCCATTGTGTAGATTTAATTTGGTTAATTTACCATTACTTATTGCTGCTTGCATTGGTTTACTAGGGACCCCCTGCTTGCTAGGCTGCTGTTCTACCATTTTATCCACGCCTGCAGTCAGCTGATTATGTTGGAAATGAAGTTTTTCAGGCTTTTCTGCCCAGGCTGGCCTTGAACCATGATCCTTCAGATCTCAGCCTCCTGAGTAGCTAGAATGACAAACATGAGCCACCAGGAATAAAGCTATTTGCAGTTTTTGGTCTCAACTTGCTATGTGCCACGACCCCTGTGTGCTAAGTATTTTGTTTATAATTTTAGCCTCTGGATCCTTACAATAACTTCTCAAAGAGGAAAATGAAGCTTAATAGTGTCCAAGTGACTTGCTGAAGGTGATAGAGTCATTAAGTGGGAGATGTTGCATGTGTGATGAATTATGTCTTAGAAACTCAGTGTTACGTATTATTTTTCTTTTTTTGGTTGGTCATGGGGCTTTAACTCTGGGCCTGGGCACTGTCCCTCAGCTCTTCAGCTCAAGGTGAGCACTCTACCACTTGAACCACAGTACCACTTCCAGTTTTCTGGTTGTTTATTGGAGATAAGAGTTTCACGAACTTTCCTGCCCAGGCTGGCTTTGAACCGTGATCCTCAGATCTCAGCTTCCTAAGTAGCTAGGATTATAGGCGTGATCCACCGGCACTCAGCCCTATTGCTGTTTTAATACCAGCTGTCTGGAGCATTAGCACCCTGCAGTAATGTTGTGTTTCCACAGGTGGATGGAACAGCAATCTTCTTTTATCCTCCCATGGGCTTCTGGACTTGCACACGCTGAAGGCAGCCTAGCTGCTCCAGGTCTGAGCACCAGTTTGGCACCTTCCCCTCTCTTTCCCACAGAGGGCTCCACAGGGAAGACATGCTTGATGAAGGCTATGTTGAACCTTCAGGACGGGGTTAACGCCTGCATCCTGCCACTGCTTCAGATTGACCGGGACTCTGGCAATCCCCAGCCTCTGGTCAATGCCCAGTGTACAGATGAGTACTACCGAGGCCACAGTGCCCTGCACATTGCAATTGAGAAGCGAAGCCTGCAGTGTGTGAAGCTCCTGGTAGAGAATGGGGCTAACGTGCATGCCCGGGCCTGTGGCCATTTCTTCCAGAAACACCAAGGCACTTGCTTCTATTTTGGTGAGTGGGCCTTTCTTACCTACATTGAGGCACACAGAGGGTAAGTTGTTGTCCAAGGTTATATGCTCAGGGATTGGTAGAGCTGGTACTTAAACCCAGGTCTGCCTGATTCTGACATCCTGCTTCTAACCCACTAAGCTGGTTAGAAGCAATTTAAATTTATTTTATTTGATTTATGTATTTATTTTTGTGCTGGTACTAAGGCTTGATCTCAGGACTGGGTGCTGTTCCTTAACTTTTTTGCTCAAGGTTGGTGCTCACCACTTGAGCCACAGCTCCATCTCTAGCTGGTTAATTAGAGAAGAATCTGAGAAACTTTTCTGTCCCAATTTAGCTTTGAACTGTGAGCCTCAGAGTAGGATGATAAGCATGAGCCACCAGTGGCCAGCTTAGGAAATGTTTTATTTCAGGCTGGGAAGGTGGCTCAGTGATAAAGTGCTTGTTGAGGCCCTGGGTTCAATTCCTTAGCACCACATAAACAGAAAAAGCTGGAAGTGGTGCTGTGGCTCAAGTGGTAGAGTGCTAGCCTTGAGTTAAAGAGTTGAGGGACAGTGCCTAGGCCCAGAGTTCAAGCCCCATGACCAACAACAACAATAACAAAAGAAATGTTTTATTTCCTTTGGCTAAGGAGGGTCAGCATACACCCAAGTCCAGACTGGCCTGTGTCAAGACTCAGGGTCAGGGAAGGGGTAGTGGGGTAGGTACAGTAGGTCTTTTGATAGCTGGGGCTATAGCTTAGTAGTAGAGTATACACTCAGCATATAGCAAGATCCTGGGTTTGATCCCTAGCACTGAAAAAAAACAAAGACAAAATCCTCAAAGTAACTCAGGCACAGTCTGTGCTCCTGGGCTCTGGCAAAGAAGAAGAATGAAAGAGACAGGAGAGATGAGGATCTGAGTAGCTGGATGCTGTACTGCACCCTTAAATGGTAATGAGGAGTGACCTGCCTCAAGAATGCTCAGCCTGGGGCTGGGAATGTGGCTTAGTGGTACAGTGCTTGCCTAGCATGCACAAAGCCCTGCTCGATTCCTCAACACCACATAAACAGGAAAAGCTAGAGGTGGCTCAAGTGGTAGAGAGCTAGCCTTAAACAAAAAGAAGCTCAGGGACAGTACTTAAGCCCTGAGTTCAAGCCCCAGAATTGGCAAAAAAGAAAAGAAAAAAGAATGCTTGGGCATCTGTTTGAGGAACAGGAGTAGACAGGAGGAAGCTGCATTCCCCAACACACAGCTACATTCCCCGACTCACAGGTGAGCTGCCTCTCTCTCTGGCTGCCTGCACCAAACAATGGGATGTGGTGACGTACCTCTTGGAGAATCCATATCAGCCAGCTAGCCTGCAGGCAGCTGACTCCCTGGGCAACACAGCCCTGCATGCTCTGGTGATGATCGCAGACAATTCGCCTGAGAACAGTGCCCTGGTGATCCGCATGTACGACGGGCTTCTCCAACTGGGGGCCCGCCTGTGCCCCACGGTGCAGCTTGAGGACATCCACAACCTGCAGGGCCTCACACCCCTAAAGCTGGCTGCCAAGGAGGGCAAAATTGAGGTGAGTGCTATCTATGTCCATTCCCTACAGCTCCAGGCTGAAACTTGGAGGGTTTAGAGCATTGGTCTCTTCTTTTTTCAATGAAACACATTTTTTTTTGTCAGTCATGGGTCTTGAACGCTGGGCCTGAGCACTGTCCCAGAGCTCTTCCGTTCAAGGCTAAAACTCTACCGCTTGATCCACAGCGCCACTTCTGGTTTTCTAGTAGTTAATTAGAGATAAGAGTCTCAGAGACATTCCTGCCTGGGCTGTTCTGAACCATAATCCTGAGATCTCAGACTCCTGACTAGGAGTATAGGCCTAGTGGTCAGCTTGAGTGATATGCCTGAGCTTTTTTTTTTTTTTTGGTCCTGAGGCTTGAAGTCTGAGCCTGGGTGCTGTCCCTGAGCTGAATAAGATTATAGGTATGAGCCACTGAAACCTGGCTCCAGCCTGTTCCCCCCTCCCAGCCCCCACTGGCTATTTTGGAGATGGAGTCTCACAGACTTTACTGTATGAATTGGCTTTGAACTGCTGAGATTCTCTGGATCTCAGCTTCTTGAGCAGCTGAGATTATAGACATGAGTCACCAGTTCCTGGCTATAACTTTTTTTTTTTAAAGAGAGCTAGATTTTATTGACGTGGATGTTTTTGTTTTTTTTTTTTGGTCTGGTCGTGGGGCCTGAACTCTGGGCCTGGGCGCTGTCCTTCAGCAATTCAGCTAAAGGCGAGCGCTCTACCATTTGAACCACAGTGCCACTTCCGGCTTTTTTCTTTTTGCTTATATGGTGCTGAGGAATCGAACCCAGGGCCTCAGGCATGCAAGGCAAGTGCTCTACCACTGAGCCACCTTCCCAGCCCCCCTGTAACTTTAAAGTGGACTTAGCACTTTGTCTAATACAGTATTAGCACATTTTTTCTCTTAAATTTAGTTTTTTATTTTTATTTTTTTTAGGATGTACTGGGAGTAAAGCTCAGTGACTTGTCCTTGCTAGGAAGGTGTTCTACCAGGAGCCACACTTCCAGCCTTTGTGTGTGTGTGTGACTTGGGGTTGAACTCAGGGCCTCATACTAGCTAGGCAGGCACTCTACCACTTGAGCCTCCAGACCCACACTTTTTGCCTTATAGCACTTTTTACATATGTAGCTAGGCATACTTGGGAGGCTAAGGCAGGATAATAGTCCATGAGTACAAGGCCAGCCTGGGTAACATGAGACCCTGTATTAAGAAAAAAACAATAGTTGGGCACCAGTGCTCACGCCTGTAATCCTAGGTATGCAGGGGGCTGAGATCTGAGGATCATGGTTCAAAGCCAGCTGGGGCAGTTAAGTCCATGAGACTCTTATCTCCAATAAACAACCAGAAAACTGGAAGTGGTACAGTGGCTCAAATGGTAGCGTACTCACCTCGAGCTGAAGAGCTGAGGGACAGTACCCAGGCCCAGAATTCAAGCCCCAAGACTGACAAAAAAAAAAAAAAAGGGAGAGGGGCTGGGAAGGTGGCTCAGTGGTAGAGTGCTTGCCTTGCATGCATGAGGCCCTGGGTTCGATTCCTCAGCACCACATAAGCAAAAAAAGAAAAAATCCGGAAGTGGTGCTGAGGCTCAAGTGGTAGAGCACTAGCCTTGAGCTGAAGAGCTAAGGGACAGCGCCCAGGCCCAGAGTTCAGACCCCATGACCAACCAAAAACAAAACAAAACAGGGCTGGGAAGGTGGCTCAGTGGTAGAGTGCTTGCCTTGCATGCCTGAGGCCCTGGGTTCGATTCCTCAGCACCACATAAGCAAAAA